TTCTTATCCTTTGTCCTTAAAGACATAACTGGACATTGATATTATTTTCTCTGAATCATTCTGCATGGGTTCGAACTCACTATACTTGACATTGTAAAAGATGTTAAGAAATAAGTCAGTCATTTTTCATCTAAACATAAAACTTTTGAAATTGAAACAATCAAAATGACAGACCACGCCCACAGAATCTTTCATTGGTCAGTTCAAAATTGTCACCAATTACGCCATCAAAGTGTATCCTTTTATTTATTCGCTTCCCCATTAACAGCAAATTTAACACAAGGTCGGTTTAAGCAGAAGTCCGAGGACTGCACTACATGACCCAGATCCAAAAAACCGTAAGCTAAATTATTTTTAATTAGTTCTGGCTCTTGCCACACGCACCAGCCAGTGTATCTCAGTAAAGGCCTTTGTCCCTTTTGCTTTTTTAGTGCAATGGGAAAGTGAACCTAATAGCATAATCTGAGAATAATTTTCCCAACATACGATACTAAAGTAAATGAAAATATACCTAAAGATTTTAGGATGCTGTGGGCTGCATGAAAATATTAAATGGGCGGCAATGCGTCCCTGGTCTACGTCATGAAGAGAGATAACATTTAAAAATGTAATTCGTTCGTTTAAACTATAGTGTAAACTCCATAGATAATTGTAAACGGCCCATCGCAACATAGACGTCTTTAAAAAACGATCGGAGACTGCGAATATGTTTTAATCGTTTCACTCTAAACAAGCCAATAAAGCGACTAAGATGCAAGGGGTTACTGAGTGAGAAAGAATATGAGAAAAATAAAAACATTATTAAGGATAGGTTGCAATAAAAGAACAGTTATTAAGAAGACAGAATATAAGATCAAAGATGATTAGAAATCAAGAGACCGGAAGAGAATTCTATAAGCAAGAAATGGGAATTAAGAAACTGTTACCATATAACTTACGGTTACATCTAGCTGTTTCAACTATAAACTGATGAGACCTAACTGCCAAGCTAGTACTTGGCTTCAATTCATAAAGTCGAGGTACCAAACAGGAAAGCAAATCAGAAGAATTATCATGAATATATTTGTTGAAAAGAAACAGGGAATCTTCGTTATGGCGGTAGAAAAGTGAGTGAAGCCAAGATGCCAGGTCAAGATTGGTAATATTACGGATTCTTCGTAGGATTTTATCAAGAATCTTTAAATGGATATCAGAAGCACCATATCATATGTAACACCAACAATCGATGAATGGATTAATGGTAGACTTATAAATCTGTAAAATAGATTCTGGAAAGGAAATCTCTAGTACAACATAGTAAATCCATTTGTCTAGCAGCAGATTCAGCCGTTGATTGAATATAATATTTCTACTTCATACCATGTAACCTTTTCTGGAAGATCGTCAAATAAGTTTATAAATGCTATGTTTCCTTGTGAGAAAAGTTCAGATTGTGCAGAAATGAAGAAGTTCATCGCTTAGCAAATTAAGATTGGCCATATCAAACCTTTTGTACGACTATCAAAGAACGCTCACCGTCTGACCCCACCTTTAAGTGGAATAAAAATCGATTTTGAAAGTCCTTTCTTATGTTTACGAGAGTATGGGTATTGCTTTCGGTGTAGCGATGATTGCTCTCACCACGTTCAACTGAATTTTCTATCATTTCGTAGTAAAAGTGCGGATAAGACTTTATCTTCCATTCCGCCAGTTTCACTCTCAAGCCTGCTGAAAAGGCCATTTTCACAGTATGACGCATTTTCTTTAATTATTTAAAATAATTGCCTGCTCTTCAAACCAAAAATAATTGCCTGCTCTCCCAACCTAATAGAAATAATCAGTCGGCATAACAACGTCACAAATTGCTTTACATATTTTTCTTTTTTGATAGTGTTTCCTCATTTATATTTTTATATGATCACTGAAGTTAAACAACGTCGATTCTGGTCAGTACGAAGATGAGTGATTGCTTGAAAATACCAGGTGTGTGGTTGGTGTACTAAATAACGGCTCCGAATTGGAAGTTGGAGAACTGAGTTCCGAAATCATTGGACTTCTTTATATTCACTTCCGCGAAAATACCTCCGGGGAAAAGCATTAATCCGCTTCTCATCCCAAGCTATGGGTTAATTATTAGTACATGTATCAGTAAATCATTATTATCACTGTTAAAATATAATTTCTTGGCTTTAAATAGCCTGAAATTCCTATATGCCTGAAATTGCCATAGGCCTGAAATTCCTATATGCCTGAAATTCCTATATATCTGAAATTACCATATGCCTGAAATTCCCATATGCCTGAAATTTCCATGTGCCTGAAATTCCGCTATACCTGAAATTCCCATATGCCTGAAATTTCCATATGCCTGAAATTTCCATATGCCTGAAATTCCTGTATCCCTGATATTCCCATGTGCCTGAAATTCCTCTACACCTGAAATTCCCATATGCCTGAAATTCCATATGCTTGAAATTCCTATATGCCTGAAATTTCCATATGCTTGAAATTCCTATATGCCTGAAATTCCCATGTGCCTGAAATTCCTATATGCCTGAAATTTCCATATGCCTGAAATTCCTATATGCCTGACATTCCCATGTGCCTGAAATTCCTATATGCCTGAAATTTCAATAAGCCTGAAATTCCTATATGCCTGGAATTCCCATGTGCCTGAAATTCCTATATGCCTGAAATTTCCATATGCTTGAAATTCCTATATGCCTGAAACTCCCATGTGCCTGAAATTCCTATATGCCTGAAATTTCCATATGCCTGAAATTCCCATGTGCCTGAAATTCCTATATGCCTGAAATTTCCATATGCCTGAAATTCCTATATGCCTGAATTTCCCATATGCCTGAAATCCCTGTGCCTGAAATTCCCATATGCCTGAAATTCCCACATGCCTGAAATTCTTATATGCCTGAAAATAAAAAAATAAATATTAATACCTATATTTATTTACAATAACAATGAAAACCCTCAACTGCTTAATAACATTTCACACGACCAAATAGGACATTGTAAATATTTTTAATAAACACAAAAGCTGAAATTCCGATGATCGCTTAAGTATTCGAGTGCTCGGAAAGTAATCACGTATTTAAATCAACCAAATCAGCCAATTAAGGGGAGAATCTATGTTGAGTTAATATACTGACCATTCCACCCGACAGTACGTGGTTTATAATTCATTTCAGATTTTTAATTGGGAAAGCTATCAAAGAGAATATTTAAGTTCCTCAAATGCTTTCACTTTCAGAACCCACAACATTCTGTCATCTGCAGTCTTTTAACCAGGAATATCAATCTTTCATTTTTAAATTGCATACCAGTGATGAAAAATGTGTTTTGCATATTAAAAGAAAACGAAAAAGACTGATTATCGCAAAATAAGAAACTAGTGCCAACACCAAAATTAAGTTCTTACTTTGTGTCCTGTAAAATATGCAATGTGCCGTCTATTGCAAGATCCTGAAACATCGAAGGAACATCACTACAGACATGTATTGCCAGCGACTTGATTGCACAAACAAAGCATTACATTAAATGTGTCCTGATTTGGTAAATAAAAATATGTCAGTATCCATTATGACAATACACGTGTACATCCCAGTGCCTACAAATAAGATTGTTAGCATGGAAGCTTCTTCCACCCCGACCCGAAACTCTCACTTGATTTAGCAGCCAGGGATTTTCATTTGTTTCGATAACTAATAATTTCTTAAGTTATTCAAGATCAGAGAGAAAGTTGAAAACCGTGTGAAAAATATTGTTTCAGAGGAATCCCACTCTCCAGATTTCAATATACGAAGGCTCAGAATCTGTTGGAATGAAGTCGAAGAAAATGACGGCAATTGCCTTTTTTGATAATATTTAAATAAATTAAACTGACATTTGCTTATACCGTATATTTCCAGGTATAAGACGACCTATACATAAGACAAGGCCCTAAATCTAGGTAATTTTTTATGATTTTGTCTGATATCTAGAAAATAAAACAACCGAAAACGTAGGCTACTCTACGTATGGTTGGCTAACCTACGTCGATCGTTGCAGTTAGGCTGATTATAAAGATTCCTTCGAGTCTAAAATAAAGCAGATATTATTATAAATGTTTTTTTACTTACCTTTATCGTTATGAAATGAAAAGGAATAAAATAATATAAAGTAGGAACATAAAAATCTTTATGAAAATAATAATAACGATTTTCAAGTTGCTTAAAATGTATGTTAATGAAAAATAAAGTTTCCATATTATCCTGAATGTTGTTATTTCAAACCACAATGATAATGAATTTAATTAGAAATAGAGATTGTATGTTATCTTGAATGTTGTTATTTAACTCTACTATGAGAAATAATGATTGGTGACATAGCTCTACAAATAAAAAAACCAAAGATTTATTTACGTTACTTGTTACTTGTGCGTGTTGCTCAATGGAACATTTGCAAATTATTGTGCAATCGTCTCTTGAATATAGCATTTTAAGAAGTAAAAGTAGTTTTTATTACATTTATAACTATACTACAACATTTGATTTGAGTTGTTGTTGTTGTTGGTAGCTGTTAGCATATAGCGATCCATAGCTACTTACCAGTGCTAATATACCACAGGATTTAATGTTAGTTTTTTGAAAATGTTGAATTAGACAAATCTCTATTTTGGGTATTTCATTGTTAAGATTTAAGGGTGACCTTATAAGCGGAAGTATATGATATATTCTTTCTGGTAAAACGTAACTACTATCGCAACCCGCTAATGTATCTATTGATATATGATTTATCAGTCACCAATTTTATTGCGAAAACATTGATTTGCAGAATAAAAGTTGACAAAATAGATACAACATGCCGTTTCCAAACTTCTGGCAAAGTGAATTGCGTCAGGGTGCTCTTTTTCTTAAAGACGGTGCCCAACTGACCCTACTCTACTGTACAGTTGACACAATCAAAATAAAACAACCCGCATGCGCGAAATTAAAAATATAAAATGAGTCAAGTCATCCATCGCCTGCTCAACCAGGTACATAGGCAGATCGATATAAGATAGATAGACAGACAGACAAGAAGATAAATAGATAGATAGACAGACAGACAAGAAGATAGATAGATAGATAGATAGATAGATAGATAGATAGATAGATAGTCTTCGCCTGTTTGCATCCGTGTATATTAAAGTTGGTCAGCCGTGATAGAGTGACTCTTTCTGTGGGATTATCTTTTTTACCGCCATCTGTGTTGAGCAACAATATATTTGTGACTACATTTTTTTTCAGAATGTCACGATAATATTTTTCACTTAAAAAATCATTACAAAAAGAATTTTTGGATATTTTAATTTATGTTGGATTATTCTCCAAGACAGTCACAATTTCTGGAATTTATCATCCTCATATACTTCTCTTTTTTAAAAATCTGTATATTAATACAAGCATGTTTGAAGAAATGAGAAACGTCTTTCAGTTGAGATTTCATTCATAAACTGCATTTAGGCAAACAACAAAAAAATAACAACAAACAAAAGAGTGCTAATATTTCCTGCAATTAGAATTAAATCCTACCATTTTCAATAGGTTCTGAACAATTCCCTCCTTCGATCTTCCCACCATTAATAAATAAGCAAAAAAGAAAAAAAAACAGATCAAATGTTCCGTTCTATTGTTTGAGCTGAACGGTGTAAATTATTAGGTGAAACATCCCGAGTCGTGTCAATGCTTCCGGTCACCTGACCTTGTGGGGTTCCGCCCTGCTATCTCACGTGTCAAGCAATTAGACAATGCGCTCCGCTAGGTGGCGTCTCGGTTGATGCTACGCGTCGAGGATTCTCAGTCATTTCTTGTCAAGAAAATAATTGAGAGACGCATATTTGACAGATAAACAAATCCGAAGAAAGACAAAACAACAAAATAAATATAAAATTCCATTGTCTACGGGTGGCGTTCCTGCTAATTTATTAAGCATATGTGTCTTCATAAGGAATTGTCTCTCGCACACACACACACACACACATACATATGTGAAAGGTTTGCTTACATATATGTGTGCACACTGAATCTGCTTCGTGGCCCAAATAGTTGTGTCTCAGATAACAGAGGTCAGTTTATGAGTCAGAGAAGAAGCGAGGATTTCGAATGCTGATATTCACAGCCGGTAGATCCTGCTTATCTGAAATACTGACGCTATACACTCTTATGACTTCACCCATTCACATTCATCTAGATGATACGGAATCCGATTGAGCTGAACTTGTTGAATAACAATGTTCATATCCCAAGTTTACTTTACGGTATCCCATAGGGGGCGACTGCTTAATATTGGAAGGGCTGCTTTTTATATATATATAGACTGTTTGGACATAGGAATCAACATTACATGGTAACAATCGGTTTCACTTCTCAATGTGATCTTCAGATCAAGTGCCATTACTCTTTTAGCTGGATCTATGTATAAGCCTCTAGGGAACGAGGAAAATGGGTACGAGCAGGAAGCCGGCCAGTCACAATTCGGTCGCTAAGAGCTAAGAGCTAAGGGATAAGTAGAACAAATCGGTACCCGAGGAAAAATGAGGAATAAAAAATGAACAAATAAATTAATAAAATCTATAATTTCTTACTTATAGATTTTATTGGTTTATTTTGTATATTTTGGTGGTTGTAAGTTTTAATGTTTAAAATAAAGTTTATTTGATCTCATTTGAATTTTTGGGGAGTCATGATGTGGTTGTAAGTAAAGTAGTAGAAATTTGTTTACATGTTTGCACTTGAAAATAAGCTCTGATCTTTTGTTCAAGTGTTTATTTATGCTGCATAAGTAATTATTGCTATTTACTCCTCTATTACATATATATATATATATATATATATATATATATATATATATATATATATATATATAAATAAATGTGGTACTCTGCTTGGAAAAACCTTGGATAGTTCGACTTGTATTTAGAAAAAATCGGTAGCAGAGGAAAAATGAGGAATCAAAAAGAAAGAACCAGGAACATTAAACTGAGGCGAAAAAAACAGTCCAGAGTTTAAGCTCAAAATCCAAAGACAAAAACCTCCAAAACGAGTAAAAATGCAACTACGTAAGTACAGCAAAACCTAAGATAATCCTTAGGGGCCAGGTAAACCTACCAGGTTTCACCCTAAACGAATCGTCAGGGCGATGCCGGTAGGTTTGACTGGTTCCTTGGGATTATCTTATATATATATATATATATATATATATATATATATATATATATATATATATATATATATATATATATATATATATAGAGGTAACAATAGCGTAATGGATAGCGGCTTGGATTTCGAGTTCGAATTCTAGTCGAATCCATTACATTCACTTACGTACTAATACCCTTGGGAAAGTTATGAATCCTCTTCTTCTCCGTCCAGCTATGGGCAAATAACAGGACAGACTGGGTTCTGTAGCCTTTGATGGTAACTGGTCTAGGAGAAGGACAACTCTAAATTCAAAACCTGCCTATCGTCGTTTGGGGACCTTGTGGCACGGAGTGCACCAGGTCTCTGTATTCGACTCTTCATAAAGTGTGGATGGTCCTGCACGAAAACCTTCACCACTATAATCAAATCTCATGTGCTGTTGTCGGGCTATCGGTTTCCTAAACTGATCTACTTGGCCCTCATACGTCGAATTCGACAGGAGAGTCGAGTATATATATATATATATATATATATATATATATATATATATATATATAGTAATGATACAATATGTTAATCCGTATTGAATTTCCAGGAGAATATAGATACGGGTAGAGCTCTGTCAAAAGACAGATCAAAAAACAACGAAAAGAAACAATGAAAACTTCTATGTTCCTATGGGGGCATTTAACTCTGCCCAAATAGCAGACCTGTTGGACATATATATATATTAGACACTCTTGGTATAATTGTTAACGACAATCAAGTTGGAATTTATAGAGACGATGGCCTAATGATTGTTCCAAATAGTATTGGTTCTTTAATCTTAAAACTACACAGATTATTAAAGTTTTCAAGGTTTTAGATTTCAAGATAGATACACCTTCTAAACTAAAAATAGTCAACTTTCTTTATATCACCCCAACAACACCTTTAAACCCTTCCTAAAAGAGGGTCACACCACCATCCATATTAATGTCCATTCTAACCACCCGAATCAATTATAGAACATACACCAAAAACAGTCAACACAAGAATAAACAGGTTATCCTCTAACAAAAAAGTTTTAGTGAGAGTAAGTTTATGTACATCCAATCACTAAGAAATAGCAAATTTAAATAAGAGTTACACTACCAGGATGAGCGTAAGAATCTAAATTCAAAACCTCTAAAAACAGAAAAAGGAAAGTCATATCGTTCAACCCACCCTATTGCAAACTTTCCAATATTAATATAGGCCATTTTTTCTTAAAACTAATAGATAAACATTTTGATGACAAGAATCCTGCATTAAGATTTTTAATAGAAAATCACTTAAAATTAGTTACTCTTCTGTTAACAGTTTAGATAAAATCATCTCAGCACACAATAGTAAGTAATGTATTTCATAACTGGAGTAACGGATATTGACCCCACAAGCAATTGCAGAAAAACAACTGAGTGCCCTGTTGGAGATAAAATGCAGGTCTAAAACGTGGTTATATGAAGCAACGATTTTCCTTGAAGAAAATGTAGACCTGAAGAAGACCTACACTGGAATATCTGCGGGAAACTAGAAGCAAAGCTTATCTAATTACTGACACTACTTCAACAATAGGTCTCTCAAAAACCAAACAGCTTTAAGCAGGAATTATTGGCAAAGGTATCACACTGCAATTGGAGTGTAAATTCATATCCAGATCTCACTCCTAAGAACTACAGGGACCGTTGTAATATTTGGTTGCTGAAGAAAATACTTATAATTAAATATAAAAAACAGATGAATATACTTAACCTTCGAAGTGAACTCATATCAAAATGCAGACACAAACACTGCTTTAAAAAATAGAAAAGGACCCTTTCTCCTGGATTATATAAATTCCTATCTGTATCTACATTGTTCTAATGTTGTAGTATATGTTCACATAGAAATATTTATTGCAATCTGACATTTATGGTCGTGATGTATATATATATATATATATATATATATATATATATGTGTGTGTGTGTGTGTGTGTGTGTGTGTGTGTGTGTGTGTGTGTGTGTGTGTGTGTGCTTTTATTGTAATATGTATGGTTAATTGAATATGAATTTGCCTGCGGAAAAATGTGTATGTGTGTGAATGTGATTGTATATATATGTGTTTGCGTGTGCAGGTGTTTGTGTATGGTCATATTTTGGGTGTCTTGATACATATAGGTGCGTTTGTGAGAATATTGTATTTAGAGAGAAATAAATCTATATATGTATATATGTGTGCGTATTTGTGTGTGTGTGTGTGACGGATGAAAACTGATAGGGTTATTTATCTGTAATTTGTACTTAAACTAGATATATATATGTAAGGATGTGTATATGGGAATATGCGAATATATGGTGCTAAGTGAAGTTATTGTTAGCCAGGAATTTTATGGATTTTTTATTATTATTTTATTATATTTGTTGTATTATGTTTCTTTATTTGTATTATGTTGTTTACTTCTATACTAGTGATATGTCCATTATGACTATCCTTTTTGCAGTTTATGCATTATGGGTGAAAAAAGAATATATATATATGTGTGTGTGTGTGTGTGTGTGTGTGTGTGTGTGTGTGTGTGTGTGTGTGTGTGTGCATCTTTTGACTAAGTTGGATGCTACGCGGTAATCGGGTTAAACGGGTCTCCTTTAAATTAATGTGGAATACATCATTAACTAATTTCATATACTTAATAAATATACACTAGGGGATTAACCCTAATCTAACATTAACTTAGGTTAAAGTATACTCATATCCCTGCTAAATCTTAATAAATGCATCAAGGACACAAAATTTCAGGGCTCTAGGTATATAACCTTTATAAATATGTTTCTCTGAATATAATTAATAATCATTTAATTCAAATCTCTAAGGTTTTTAACTTAAATTTCTTGGTTAATTATATAAAAAGCTTATACTAATTTACATTTAATTTTTTTTTAAATTTTCGCTAATTTCGAAAAACTTTTAAAAATGTTCTGAACCAGACACTTTTTAAATATTATTTACAGAGAATTTGTTGAATGAAATACAGGGGATTAACCCCAATCTAATTTCTCCT